AAAAGTAGATAATAGCAGGTCGACTGTAGATTGGAATTTTAAGTACCACCAAATTAGCAGTGAGTTTCTAGTATGTTGTTTGATGCCCCACAAGTGAGACTCGAGGATACTAGAAACCTAGAAGTGGGCATTGAAGCGTAACAAGGAGGGTTTAAAGAGGAGCTCTTCAGTTCTGGGTTGAGGAGCAGAAAGGGGGACTTCTGACACTCAGAAACAGTGGAGGAAATCCCCAGTTTTTTGTTTTTTTTGGGTTTTTTTTGACTTATTCTCTTAATTCCATGTAATCCTGCGGGGGCTACAATCACAGCATCAGCTGGGGCTGAGATATATCTAAAACTGAGAGATGAGAACCTCCTCTACAATTAGGACTGGTTGTCTCAAAATAGTGGGGCAAGTACCTGTTGCTTCTGTTCTCTTTCTGCTGTCTGTTGCTTGGTATTGGACAAAAATTCAGTTGTGTGAAGCATACAGCAGAGCAGAGTAATGAAGCCCAAGCTTTCTGGCCAGAGAACTGACAAGGAAAACTCCAGGGTACCGAAAATCACGGAGAGAAAGGAACTAGGAAAAGCAACCCCATAAAGTTGTTTATGAACTTCTCTGCCACCCAGGAGTTGTACATATGTGGACATGGTCCTAAAGAGCATATAAAAGACTGAGAACTGAACTAAGCAGTAGACCACACGCAGTTTCTAGGCTAGCTACTCAGTGTCCCACACACTAGGATAGATCCTAGCAGCACTGCAGAGCTTTGAAAAAGGAAACTGACGTTGAAACGACGATAGTAGACTCAACATATAGCTTGGGATACAACCAGGTTGATGATCTACTAAAATAAAAATAGTAACATTTCACTTGAAGCAGTAAAATATTGATTCTAAGTAGATTGTTGAAGTTAAGTATATTTAATGCCATCCCTAGAGCAACTTCTAAAAAAAAACTATACAAAGAAATAAATTCAAACATAAATTAAAATACCAGAAAATCAGATAGCCCAAAAGAAGGCAAGGAAGAAGAGAAATGGCAGATTTTTTTTTTTTTTTACATAGAACAAGCAGAAAACAAATAATAAAATAATTGACCTAAATCCAACCTAATTAAATTAAATGGTCTAAACATACCAATTAAAAGACAGATTGTCAGAATGAATTTGAAAACATGATCTAACTATATGCTGTATACAAGAAACTCACTTTAAATATAATGATATAGGTAGTTTAAAGGATAGAAAAATACTATCTAAACACAAATCAAAGCTTGAGTGGTTGTATTAATATCTGTCAAAATAGACTTTAGTAGGAAGAAAATAACCAGGAATAAAGAAAGACATTACAAATGATAGAAGGGTCAGTCACCAGGAAGGCATAAAATTCCTAAGCGTGTATGCACCTGACAATAAAACCTCAAAATACATGAATTGAAAACTGACAAAGCAGCAGACTAAACTGCAAGGATAATTAAATCCACAATTATAGGAAACCACACTGCTCTTCTCTTCGTATTCGATATAACTGACAGAAAATTAGCAAGTGTAGAGAACTGAATAACACCATCAGTCATTTGTATCTGATTCACATTTACAGAACATTCCACCCAATAATAAGAAAAAGAATAGGTTATTTCCAAGGATAAGTTGATCATTCATCAAGATAGAACATATACCAGATCATAAAACATCTTAACAGATTTAAAATCGCTGAAATTATACAAAGCATGTTCTCTGCTGATAACTGAATTAAACTACAAATCAATAGGAAAATTTCCAAGTGGTTTAAAATTAAATAACTTACATTTAAATAATCTGTGGGTCAAAGAAGAAGCCTCAAAGTAGAAAATATTCTCTTTTTTTTATTTTTTTCTTTTTGGAGACGGAGTCTCATTCTGTCACCCAGGCTGGAGTGCAGTGATGCGATCTCAGCTCACTGCAACCTCCGCCTCCTGGGTTTAAGCAATTCTCCTGCCTCAGCCTCCTAAGTAGCTGGGATTGCAGGCGTGCGCCACTATATCCAGCTAATTTTTGTATTTTTAGTGGAGGTGAGGTTTCACCATGTTGGCCAGGCTGGTCCTGAACACCTGACCTCAAGTGATTCACCCACCTTGGCTTCCCAAAATGCTAGGATTACAGGTGTGAGCCACCAGCCCAGCCAGATATTCTTAACTGAACAAAAATGAAAATATATTAAAATTTGCAGGATGGGCCTAGGAGTTCATAAACAACTTTAAAGGGTGCTATGCCAAGTTCCTCCCTCTCCCTGATTTCTGTCGTACTTTATACATAAACAAATTATGGTGCATTCTTTCAGTGGACTACTAAGCAGTAAAAAGGAAGAACTATTGATACATACAACAACCTAGTTGAATTTCAAAGGCATATTGAGTGAAGGAAGCCAACTCAAAGGCTTATATACTATATGATTCCATTTATATGACATTCTGGAAAAGTGTGCTGCATACTTTTAAATGACCAGATTTCACGAGAACTTGAATGGTACCAAGAGGGATGGTGCTAAATCATTCATGAGGAATCTACCTCCATTAACCAGTCACCTCCCACTAGGCCCCACTTCCAATACTGGGGATACATTTCAATATGAGTCTTGGGTAGGGGCACATATTTAAACTATATCAATAAATAAGAATTATTTAAACCCAGGATTCAAGACAAATGGACCTTAGAATAGCATACACAAAAGTAGAAAGAGGGCATATTTAGAAATACTGAAAGAATGGGTGTGGGGTTTGTGCCTGTAGTGCCAACCACTAAGGAGGCGGAGTCAGGGGGATCGCCTGAGCCCAGAAGTTGGAGGCCACATTGAGCTATGATAATGCCTGGCATTCCTGTGTGGGCAACAGATCGAGACCCTGTCTCTTTAAAAAAAAAAAAAAAAAAAAGGAAGAAAAATTAAAAAGGCCAGAATGACTGGAATACTGAAAGTTGACCAAAGAGCAGTACAAGATGAGACTAGAGAGTTGGGCAAGGAACAATACAGCGTTACACTAAGGATTTGGGGTTTTATGCTAATAATGAAACAAGTTTTAAACATGGTGTGATATGTTTAAGTGTGTCTTTTTAAATTATCTGGAATAATCTAGAGGAGATGTATTAAGTACTAGTTTCTTATTAAATACATTATTATTTGTGTTATATAAAATAGTTCTTTTAGACAGTCATAGATTTAGAAATTAGCCACACACACAAATAGAGAAGCTTGAGTTCCCAAGTCCTTCTAGTTTTTCACTTTAGAATACCTGTGGAATGATTAATTATGTAAAATAATTCATTAACAAGTATTTAATGCTCATAAGTATTCTTTTCTGCATGGAATAGTATGTTGTGGTCAACTGGTAGCTGTTTACAAGAGCTGATTGTTAAATTTTGGGGAATTTTAAAAATTGAGTGTTAAAGTCGTTAAAAATTAAATTATATAAACTTATAATTATTTAAAACAAAGATAATGCTCAAAACTCATTACTTCCTAATTATTTTACATTTTATTACATATGTTCTTGAGACTCTTCATCTCTGTTGTATGGTGGAAATACTATATAATTGTGTGCTATCACACGTGTTTTATCAACTCCACATTCAGTGACATGTTGGTAGCTTGACATCAACCCCAATGGGAGTATTTACCCTTTGAAAATCATCAGACTTTATCAATCAGGGCTGTTTAACCCCAGAGAGCTGATTAAAAATTTTCCCAGGTAGAAATAAAAATATTTTGCCAAAGAAACAGATTAAAAATAAAGACGTGGTATAGTTGAAATAACATTGTTAATATCACTTTTATGCTAATTGATGAGTTACATAGATGTTTTCTGACTAAATTGTCAATCTAACCACAATGCATAAAATCTTTATGGGGAGAGTGGGGATGGTAACTTGTATACCAGGTTCTAAATCATTTACAAAGGAACTTGTAGAATGTAACTCAAATGTTAAATTAGGGACTTCCTTATAGTTTTCTGTATTTCCGTTTTCATTTTCCTTTTAAAAGAGCATTTATCTAAAATACTGAGTTCTACAAAGTATACTAGAATGAAAGCAAGCATAACACTTTTTAATAGCTTATAACCTAGACTGTATAAGAGAACTAAGAGCTTATTGTCCAATATACTTAGCACCAGTAAGATTTAAGGTAACAGTGTAGAAAATTTGGTCATGCCAGAGTCTCCTAAAAAACCATATCATCGATTAGTTGGACTTAGAAAAAAAAAATGTTGAAAGGCTGAGGGTCATTTTTCAGGCTTAATAAAACACATCAAAATAGTTAGAAGACATCTACTAGATAGGTAAAATTACATCTTCATATTTTAAGCACTAGAGTAAGTTATTGAGGGGAGGGAATAATATCTTTCTTAATTGTTATCCAGAATGATTTCGATAAAACCAATTCCTTCATCTCAGTAAATCTCATTAATTCAGTGGTATGCTTTTAAGAGGTTATTGTCATTGGTTTGAATTTCTTATTCTTTAATTGGTTTTGATCTTCCATAGTGCTTTTGCATCTCTTCCAAAGCACAAACCTGGTTTCTGGTCAGATGTAGCTGCGGCTGTAGGTTCTCGATCTGCTGAAGAATGCCAGAGGAAATATATGGAAAATCCCAGAGGAAAAGGATCCCAGAAACATGTCACTAAGAAAAAGCCAGCCAATTCCAAAGGCCAAAATGGTAAACTTTGTAGTAAATAGTTTTTTTCGTAGTACTCAGTGTTGATTTCTGATCACTGAAATCAGATATGTTTTATATTTATCCATGAATATTAATAGGTATTTTCTTAAAATATTAAAGCTAGAAAGAATTTCAGAAATCATGTTTAATTTTTAAGTCTTACCTAGGTCTCTACTTCCGTCAGTAGTAGTTTAGTAGCCTTGTGCTTTGAGTTTTAGGAATTCTGCAGTTAGATCTAGAGATTTCAGTATCTGAATTATTGTTCTGAGGGTTTAATTAAAAGGCACTTGGGTCAGATCCCCAAGTAATTTATGAGAAAGCTCAGAAAATACTCAGTTTTCATAGTCCCATGATTACATACTCCTGTTCATGAGTACTAGTAAAAGGTTGATTATGCCAGAGAATTTCTGTAATAAGCATTAGTGAGAACCCAGTACCCCATCATAATTCAATAAGGTTTATATATTTTAGCAAAATCAATAAATTAGGCATTCAGCAAGAGGCAGTGTAGAGGCAATCATTCTTGCAATGTAAAGATCTTTTTGGCCAGGCGTGGTGGCTCATGCGTGTAATCTCAGCACTTTGGGAGGCCGAGGTGGACCGATTACTTGAGCTCACAAGTTCAAGACCAGCCTGGGCAACATGGCAAAACCCCATCTCTAGAAAAAAAAAAAAGATGTTTTTAACCTGACCCTGCCTAATCTTAGCTTCTTCATGAGTATCCTATGGGCTAATCATATTGCACAAATCCCAGATCCCAGTGTAGAAATAATCATTTGTTCTATAGGAGACTTGTAAAATAAAAAGCTAAGTTTTCATTCTCTTTTTCCTTTCTTTATCTATATCTATATTTTTTAGAGAGATGGGGTCTCACTGTATTGCCCAGGCAGGTCTTGAACTCCTGGGCTCAAGCATTCCTCCTGCCTTGGCCTCCCGAAGTGCTGGGGTTACAGGGATGAGCCACTGAGCCTGGCCAAGGCTGAGTTTTTTTGTTTTTTTTTTTTTAACATGAATCCACAATTTAGATTTTGCAAAGGCTATTAACTTTATAGAGCAGTTACTATAAATAACCAAATCCTTATCAAAATGGTTTGCTGACTCTTCAGGCAAGCGAGGTGATGCTGATCAGAAACAAACTATTAAGATAACTGCCAAAGTGGGAACTCTTAAAAGGAAGCAACAGATGAGGGAATTTCTGGAACAGTTGCCAAAAGATGACCATGATGATTTTTTCAGTACAACACCTTTACAGCATCAAAGAATACTGGTAAGAGGCACAAAATCATTGTTTTCCTTATCTGTATTGACTTTTGTATCTTTCATTTTTATGTATGGTAGTGTTCATCACTAATATTTAGGCGAAGGATCAGTAGCCTCCCTAGACGTGATCATAGTCTTATGGCAAACAATGTGCTGATATATGCCATTCTTACTAGTTTCTAGAGTCTGCACTTCAGTCGGTTCAAAGGTAATGTTTGTAGAACCAAACAGTAAAGTAAACCTAGAATTAGGCGAAACATATATAAAGTTTAATATACTACCAAGCAAACTTTTTTTTAAAGGTGATAAAAGATACTGTGTAGTAATTGAAAGTAGGGATTAAATGATAGTAGCACAGTATTAAAAGATTTGAATGTATGAAAGAATTTTTGTCATGTGAAGAGTAGAATAAGTAAAAATTTCAGTGACTGGAGTAATTCACAGCAAATAAAACCAAGCTAGTATCTGTAATATGAACAAGTCATTCAAATGTTACTGGAATAACAAAAAGTACCAAGATCACAGGAAAAGTGTGAAAAAGAAGAAATTCAAACGGCTGAATAAACACTTGGGGAAGTAGTCATTTTAGTTAGTAATTCAAGAAAGTAAAGTAAATTATATATGTATACTTTCTAAATTACAGAATCTTAAAAAAAAAAGTAAGTTAAAATATCCACTGCTAACAGAAGCAGTGCTGATACTGATACAGTCATACACCAGTGGGCATACAAATTGAATCGTACCTTTTAGTAAGAAAGCATTATGGCAATATATTATAAAAGCCATAAAGATTTATTCTATTCTTGAGAGTTTATCCTAAGAAATCCAAAAGCCCCAAATCTTTGCAAGATATTTATTGCAGTTTTATCTTTATAGCAAAAAACTGGGAACAATCTGTATATCCAGTAAAGATGTTTTTCATAAACACAGTGAAATACAATACAGATATTAAATGCACATTTAAGACTTTCTAGAATCTAAATATAAATGTTAAGAATATTAAGATTAGCGGGGCGTGGTGGCTCATGCTGTAATCCCAGCACTTTGGAAGGCCGAGGCGAGTGGATCATGAAGTCAGGAAATCAAGACCATTCTAGCCAACATGGTGAAACCCTGTCTCTACTAAAAATACAAAAATTAGACGGGCGTGGTGGCGCATGCCTATAATCCCAGCTACTTGGGAGGCTGAGGCAGGAGAATCGCTTGAACCCCCTAGACAAAGATTGCAGCCACTGCGCTCCAGCCTGGCGACAGAGCAAGACTCCTTCTCAAAAAAAGAAAAAAAAACAAAGATTATTAAGATTAAAGTAATGCAGAAATGTGTGGATAATAGACAACTGGACTATTGAGTATAAGAATTCAAACAGTTAGTGAGCTAGACATAAGCGTAATTTTTTCATCTACCAATTTCTTGTCATTAAATCATCTTCAATTTAAAAAGGCTACACAACGCTTTACAAAGTTTAGTAACATTAGCTGGGCCCCCTTTTTGCTTACACTGGTTATAGAGGGAAGTCTTAAGAGAGCCACCAGAGGCCCTGACAATGTTTTCTTCAAAACACTGTGGTCCACTAGGGTTTGTACCCTTTATGTTATCCCACCATCATTTCAGGTTCTGTATGTGTATATTTTAGCCTAAATGCAATAGTAGCATCATAAAGAACAGAACTGCCGGGCATGGTGGCTCACGCCTGTAATCCCAGCACTTTGGGAGGCCAAGGTGGGCAGATCACCTGAGATCAGGAGTTCAAGACCAGTCTGGCCAACATGGTGAAACCCCATCTCTACTAAAAATACAAAAATTAGCTGGTGTGGTGGTGGGCATCTGTAGTCCCAGCTACTCAGGATGGTGAGGCGAGATAACTACTTGAACCCAGGAATGGGAGGTTGCGGTTAGCCAAGATGGCACCATTTTACTCCAGCCTGGGCAACAAGAACGAAACTCCGTCTCACAAAAATAGAAATGTAAAGAACAGAACTAAAGTAGAAATAGACAGCAACAAATTATCTCATTTTCTGTGACATAGTTAACACTGCTTGAGTTCCTACTGAGGGCTAAGCATAATAGTAAGTGAATTTTGTTTTGTTTTGTTTTGTTCTGTTGATACGAAAGGTCAGATTTGTTTGCATATTGTCTATGCTTGCTTTCATGCTACAGTGCAGAGTTGAGTAGTTAGAACAGAGACTGGACCACGAAACCTAAAATATTCACTATCTGATTCTTTACGGAAAACATTTGCTGACCTCTGGTCTGCATAACCTTTAGAAATAGGTGTTATTATCTCTGTTTTACACAAGAGAAATTAAGTCTTTTAAAGGCTAAGGCTCTGTCCTTGTCCTTGTTCCTTGACCTTAAAATTTCTAGCAGACACAGCCTAAACCTGTGCAATCAGCAGACCCCCATCATTCTTGTTTATCTTCTGTCAGGGAGAGCCTCAGCACCTTAGACCTATATAGTGTAGGATGAATCCCTTCTGTTACTGGCAGCGAATCCATACGGGTCTGCAGAAACCACAATTCTTACCTCCTCAGAAGAAAGAATTCTGGCCAGGTGTGGTGGCTTATGCCTGTAGTCCCAGCACTTTGGGAGGCCAAGGTAGGAGGATCCCTTGAGCCCAAGAGCTTAAGACCAGCCTGGGCAATATAGGGAGACTCCGTCTCCATTTTTTTTTTTTAATAATTATGAAAATTTTTTAAACAGAGAATTTGACCAAGGAAACATAAGGCAGAAGGAGAAACCAAGGCAAGTTTTAGTGCAGGAATGAAAGTTTATTAAAAAACTTTAAAGCAGGAACCAAAGGAAGGAAAGTACTCTCAAAAGAGGGCCAAGCAGGTGACTTGAAGGATGGTTTAACTTTGTGACTTGGGGTTTTATATGTTGGCATGCTTCTGGGGGTCTTGTGTTCCTTCTCTCCTGATTCTGACTTTGGGGTGGGCTGTCTGCATGCCCAGTGGTGTGCTAGCACTTGGGAGGGGAGCAAGTTACAGTGTGTTTACTGGATTTGCACACAGGCTCACTTGAGGCTTTCTTCCCTTACCAGTCGAATGTCCGTAGGAGGTCATATACCAGTTAAACTCCTCCATTTTGCCTCTTAATGCACATGCTTGAACCCACTCGCACAGCTTCTGAGATCTTATCAGGAAGCTGCTCATCACCAATTTTAGGTGTTTCTGTTTATTGAGAGATTGCCTTTCCCTGGTGCTGGCTGCGATTAATTATTATTTTAGAGACACAGTTAACAACCACCTGACCATCATAGGATGGTTGCCTAACAACATTCCTGGTAGGGGATGGGGAGGCCTGCTCATTCCCTGCTTATCCCTGACTAGCTACCTGCTATAACATTCCCACTTCCACAAGTCACCAGTCAAGGTTAGCTGTTTCCAGCTGGAGGAAGCTAATGGTGTTTATGGCCCAGGGGAGGTTAGGCTTGTTTCCAACCCAGAGCTGTTTCAAGCCCAGGGGAGGTTAGGCTTGATGGCTTGTTTCCAACGTAGTCAGTGGGATGGAGCTGGGAGGAATAGAAAAGATGGAGGAAGAGAGAGAGATTAGGGCCCATACACACATTAAAATTATACACCTACATGTGCAAACAAATGGTGCACTGCCTCCAAACAAATCCCCAGTTAAGAGGACTGGGTAGAGTTCCAAACTCCTTGCCTCAGTTTCAAACAGCCCCCACCAGGGGACTGAGTCCAATGTGAACAAAGCCCTGAGGGTGCCACAAATACAAATGCATAAAAATGGCCAAATGGTGACACCAACAGCTAAGTCTAAACAGAGCAGAGACCCAGCAACACCCTGAAAAGAGTCAGAGGGAGGCTAGGTGCACATCAGCAGCTCACCCAGTTCCAACGTTTGTCGACTTCTTCAAAATGTCACACTCTCTTTGTATCAGTGAAGCTTTGGAAGCAGCAGATGCTGTGACAAAGAGAAAAGGAGGTTCCGCAAGACAAAGGCACATTGGCAGCTGTTGGAAGCTCCCCTAATGTTCTTTCTACGGGGTCAGCTAGCCACGAGCAGCTGGCACTCACAGGTGGCTCCATGGCCCCATCTAACAGAAGATCAGATAGGTGGGTCTGGAGCCTCCTGTGAATACACAGGGCTCCCTGTATGGGCCACCAAAAATTGTAACCAGCATAGGAGTCCAACTACTCGCCGCTTGTGAAAAGAAGACAATATAACAAGAGCAAGGTGTGACAGAGTTTTATTATCTGTGCCAGCAAAGGGAAGTGTGGGTGAAATTCCAAAAATTCCAGTCTTCAATTTGTGGAGTGAACATAGGAGTTTTTAAAGAGAGAATGGTTTGGAATGCAGGAGAGGAGGGGTTAGGAGGTGTCAGGTGGCTCAGTGTGCTTCAACAGCTTATCTTGAAATATTATTCCATTTGGTGAAGGGGCCAGCACCATCCTGGGCCCAACTAGGTTACAAATTAATTGTAGTAAATCTTGCAGTAAATTTCTAGATGGGAGTGAGTTTTGGCCTTGACTGGGGAGAGAATTATTAAAGTATCCAGTTTGTGCCAGGATCCAGCCCCTGAAACTTCTAAGGAAATATATGACCAGATAAACGAGTATGGTGTGCACTTAAAAAGTGTCTAGGTAAATACATGTGCATAAGGCATGGGAGCATAGAATGGGTAAAGAAAGGGAATGGAGGTTCACATTTTGAGGCTGTATTTCAAGATGAATGGAAACACATATGCAGTTTATCTCAAAGTTGTATCTCAGAATTGGGGAGAAAGGAATAAAAAAGTTTTAAAACCTGGTTTGAAGCCACACTACTCGGTTACAGGCTGAATAAAGAGGGTGACAAATACAGTTTCTCATAAACATTTAATAGAGACTTTTGAGCAGAAGCCATCTCTTGGGTGGCCACAAGATGGTGGATTTATGCACTGTTATCACCCCAGACCCAGGGTTTATATACCATAGGGAATTTGCCTAAGGGACGGATTTATGGTAAGTATGTGTTTACGGTAACACCAAGGTTGTTTTGACCTAAGGACAAAATTTCTGGTAAGTACATGGAAGTAGAAATCTTAGAGGCATTTCCAGAACCGGGTTTAATCAGAAGTCAGCATGGTGAATTAGCATCTAAAATGGAGTTCCTCTAGCCTCTACTCCTCTACCTACTATTGTTTTTAATTATCTAACTTGAAAAGTTATAAGAAGGAGAACCAACCTATCAGTCCTCCAAAAACTATTTTGTGATAATGAGAAAATACATTTTATGGGGTGTCTACTGATAATAACTACTTGTTTTCTAGTTGCCAAGTTTCCAGGACAGTGAAGATGATGATGATATTCTGCCAAATATGGACAAAAATCCAACAACTCCATCATCAGTTATCTTTCCATTGGTAAAAACTCCTCAATGTCAGCATGTCAGTCCTGGCATGCTAGCTTCTATAAATAGGTAAATATTCATGCATATGATATTTTAATTCTCTGCATCAGAGTAGTGAGGAACATTTAAACATTTCATAAGGACCATAGATGCCAGTAATGGGAAGAGTCATTATTTAAAAAATCAAGAATGTATAGTTTCTAGAAGTTAAGGATGGACAATTTCATCAAGTCAGGGTTCTATTCAATAAATAGCACTGTGATATAATCCACATTTACTTCTGGATCAATTCAAAATGGATCAAGGTTTTTACCTGTAAAAAATTAAAAAAAAAAAAAAAAAAACTAAAGAAACCTTGGAGAATTATTTTATAATAGCAGATTAGTGATGGTCTTTCTAACTCTAATATAAAACCTACAAGCCATTAATGAAAAGATGAATAAAGTCAACTGTATAAAAATGTTTAACAAATTTTACCTGGTACCAACCACTACAAACAAAAGACAACCTGAGAAAAGAATATATGCAGCTTGTCACAGGCAAAAGGCTAATTTCTGTAATATATACAGCATTCCTACAAATTAACAAGGAATGCATTGTTAATTTTCGTGCATTGCTAGTGAGAAGGTAAATTAGTGCGATCTTTGCAGCAACAATTTGTAAGTATCAAAATTATAAATGCACATACCCTTTGACTTAGGAAGTTTACTTACAGAATTGTGAATGTACAGCTTATTCATGGTAGCATTGTTTAAATTGCAGTACCTCAAAAATCTATCAGTAGGGACTAATTAAATGAATCCTCGTCCATTATGTAGTCATAGAAATTAATGAAGAGCCAGGTACAGTGGCTGAAGCCTGTAATCCCAACACTTTGGGAGGCTGAGGTGGGAGGATCACTTGAGCCCAGGAGTTTAAGACCAGCATGGGCAACATAGGAAGACCCCATTTCTACCAAAAGAAAAAAAAAAAGTTAGCAGGATGCAGTGAGGAAAGCCTGTGGTCCCAGCTACTAGGGAGGCTGATGTAGAAGGATTGCTTGAGTCCCAGAGGTCTAGGCTGCAGTGAGCTGTGATTGCAACAGTTGCACTCTAGCCTGGAAAACAGAGTGGGATCCTGTCTCAGAAAAAAAAAAAAGGAATTAATGAAGATATTTTTTATGGCTGTTATGATAAAATGCCTAAGATACATTAAATGAGAAAAAGGTAGATGTAGTGAATAATATACTGTTTGTGTAAATAGAACCTATATGTGTGTATGCACATATGTATATACTTGTGTGTATGTATATAATTGCTTTTATTAGATTAAGTATTTCTAAAAGGATGCATAAGAAACCAAAACATTAGTGATCTTTAGGGAGAACTAAGGTAGCTAGAGGAAGGAGAGGGGGGCTTTTGAATTTTGAACCATGTGAATACAGGAACAATTTGAAACATATACATAAATAAAATTAAGAAAAAAGTAGGGGTGACTAACAATAAAATTTCACCAAAAAAAGATGGAAAGTAGTAAGAATGAGGCCTGAAAATAGGCTATTCCATTTGGAGAGTAAGAGGCTATTGCTGATCTTAGAGCAATTTCCACAGAATGAGAGGCAGAAGCAAGATAATAATGACTGAGAAAAAACTATTCAGTACTCTCAGGAAGCCTGCTAAAATTTTAATTTGCACTTATTGGATAAAAATATAATTTTCCTAGGCATCTAAAAGTTATTTTTTATTTTAGTATTTAGTGCAGGTGAGAGCATATTGAGAATACAATTTTGGACAAACTTTTTGATAAGCACTTTGACCAAATCATCAAAAGCCTTAAAATATTCATCCTTGGCCGGCACGGTAGCTCACACCTATAATCCCAACACTTTGGGAGGCTGAGGCCGATGGATCATGAGGTCAGAAGTTTGAGACCAGTCTGGCCAACATAGTGAAACCCTGTCTCTACTAAAAATACAAAAAATTAGCCAGGTGTGGTGGTGTGCGCCTGTAATCCTACCTACCAAGGAGGCTGAGGCAGGAGAATCGTGTGAACCTAGGAGGTGGAGGTTGCAGTGAGCCGAGATCACGCCATTGCACTCCAGCCTGGGTGACAGTGCGAGACTCCGTCTCAAAAAAAAAAAAAAATTCATCCTTTTGGCCATTGAATTTTATTAGACACTTTAAGGAAATATGAGATTTGGACAGGCATGTATTTATATGAACAAAGATGTTCACCATAAAACATAATACTGAAAGTTTGAGAATGACCAAAACATCCAAAAATAAGGAAAGTTATAAATTAAGATTTATCCATATAATGGAGTATGAAACAAATCATGTCTTCAAGAATGTTTAATGACAGAAAAATATCCAGTGGATAGTAGTTTTTTAAAGCTAGGAAAACTACATTCAGTATGATCCCAATTTTATGTAACAAATTCATAAGGAAGGAAATTTCTTAACTTACACATCACCAGCCATTATTTCTAGGTTATAGAATGACACCAGTGTGGATTGTGAGTTTTTGTTTTTTGTTTTGGGGGATATTTTCTGTCCATTTACATCACTTTTACAATTAAGGAAATCCGATAGACTCACTTATGTCATGTATCTATATTGTCTAAAACTTTTTCTTAAAAAAAAGATTTTTTTTTTTTTTTTTGAGACGGAGTCTCGCTTTGTCGCCCAGGCTGGAGTGCAGTGGCCGGATCTCAGCTTACCGCAAGCTCCGCCTCCCGGGTTTACACCATTCTCCTGCCTCAGCCTCCCGAGTAGCTGGGACTACGGGCGCCCACCACCTCGCCCGGCTAGTTTTTTGTATTTTTTAGTAGAGACGGGGTTTCACCGTGTTAGCCAGGATGGTCTCGATCTTCTGACCTCGTGATCCGCCCGTCTCGGCCTCCCAAAGTGCTGGGAATACAGGCTTGAGCCACCGTGCCCGGCCAAAAAAAAAAAGATTTTCTTAGGCTTCTTCACTATCTTTTACTTTACTATCTCTAGTAATTGATGAACTTTTCATAACAGTTTTAAGTAATCAAACAGTTGTATCACTTCAGAAGTGAAAAACTCTTTGTCTTCAGAGACATCTCTTTGACAATAGATCTACCAGTTGCTGATCCTGAACAAGTGGCTAGGCCTGTTCATTTGTTTTTTGTTTTTGAGATGGAGTTGCTCATGTTGGAGAGCAGTGGCATGATCTCGGCTCACTACCACCTCCATCTACCAGGTTCAAGCAATTCTCATGCCTCAGCCTTCCAAGTAGCTGGGATTACAGGCACATGCCACCGTGCCCAGCTAATTTTTGTATTTTTAGTAGAGATGGGGTTTCACCATGTTGTCCAGGCTGGTCTTGAACTCCTGACCTCAGGTAATCCACCAGCCTCAGCCTCCCAAAGTGCTGGGATCGCACCTGTTCATTTGTTAAGCAGTTTGCTAATACCTGATGAGGTCTATTCATTGCTATACAGCAGTGTTTGATTCAGATAAGTATCTTAATACAGTCACATTTCTACATGTCAACTTTAAGGTTGTTCCCAAATAGTCATAAAGAACAGGATACTCAGGTATGTAAGATCTTAGAGCCAAGGGAGAGTATGGAAATGGGTGTTCAGCTGGTATTAACTGTCATAAGTGGGATTAGGAATTGTGGGTTTAAGGAATTAAAAACAACCAACCATTCTACTTGGCTTTTAATCTCGTCAGTTATGAGTCAAGCCTATTTACTTGTAAGGGAAGAGATAAGGTAAAGGAAATGAAAAAAACAACAACAAAAAATTTGGTGGTTGGTATGGGGAATTCAAGAAAGATAAAGTTTTGTAGAAATAAAAGGCTTGATGAGCTGGATTGGAAACCCTGCACAGTTGGAAAAATTGAGAGTTTTCAATCACCAGGCATATCTTTAAAGTGAATAAACTGAGATTCAATTAGTATAGGGAAGGAAGTGAACAATGGTACAGCAAAAGGGAGTCCAAGGACCAGAGGTCTCAGTGGGAGTTTTGGAAAATGAAGAGAGGCAGCAAGATACTGGAAAGAGCGTAGATGGTACAATGAACAGTAAGCAAAGCATAATTTCCCAAAATAGTCTTATTCAGTATTTCCTTTAAAATGTTTGAGCTTTTTGCCCATCTCCATAGGCACATTGTATTGTCCTCTTTAAAATACAGAATGTACTTTTTAAAGATGGAAATACATTTGAGGTCAGGCATGGTGGCTCATGCCTGTTATCCCAACACTTTGGGAGGCCCAGGAGGGCAGATTGCTTGATGAGCTCAGGAGTTCAAGAGCAGCCTGGGCAATGTGGCGAAACCCTGTCTCTTAAGAAAAATACAAAGATTAGCCAGGCGTGATGGCACGTGCCTGTAGTCCAAGCTACGTGGGAGGCTGAGTTGGGAGGATCACGTGAGCCCAGGAGGCTGAGGCTACAGTGAGCCATTATCATGTTACTGCACTCCAGCCTGGGCGACAGAGTGAGACCCTGTTTCAAAAAAAGAAATACATTTGAAATTAATTTAGGCAATTGTTGTTCAATCTGTGGTTAAAAGTATGACAGTTAACTGAAAAATTATTAAGCTGACTTAAAAATATTGTTGACTTAAAATTATTTTGTATTCAAACAGGAATGATTGTGATAAATATGTTTTTCGTATGCAAAAATATCATAAAAGTAATGGTGGTATTGTCTGGGGCAACATCAAGAAAAAATTAGTAAGTATTTTTCTTTATCCAACACATATCTATGAAACAACTTTAATATATGATAAACTGTGGTAGTTATAAGTGATGTGACAGTCCCTGTCCCTAAAGTGATTATAATGTAATAAGTTACAATAATGAAGCCATGAATGAGGTAAGTACATAAGTACTGTAGGATTACAGATGGCATTACATAGACTGAAACATTGGAGCAAGGAGAAAATGGGTAAAAACTTTCATTTTTGGGAAATGAAGGGTGGTAAAAATATACACAGGTCTGGGAAGGATATTTCAGGCAAAACACAAAAGCTTATCTGTTCAAGGATTAAAGAATAATTCAGACTGAGTCATGATTCTCATAAAATAAGACATTTCATCTAATCCTATGTAGCTTTAAAATGGTTTCAAGTGTTTTTCAGATGTAGCTACTTAATTTTATTTTTTTATTTTTTATTTTTTTACATTCTAACATTTAAAATCCAACTACAGAAAAATTTTTAACTAAAAGATGCCTTAATAGAATGATCTGTATCCCTCAGAGAAAAGATTAGGACAATCCTTTATCCCCTTGAATTACTTTTTAAATTTTTAATTTTCTGATTTTAATTGCAATAACTGATTATCAATCAGATATAAGTACTAGGATTCTGAAAAAAGTATTTCATCTCAAATTTCTCGTCAAAGTAAGTAGCTAATCTCAGAGAATGGTAACTTATGGGAACCCCCTTGAGTCCCTTGCTTTATGACACTGAGCAAGTTACTTAAGCTTTCTAGTATCATTTTATTCATGTGTGGTATGATAATGGGGATCATGATTATATTGATTTATGTTACCAAATGATTTTGAGGGCTAAATGATATAATACAGTGTTTTACCTCATGTCAGAAAAAAATACATTTATATCACAGTCTGTGAGCATGAATTTGTATCTCAAAAATTTCTTCAAACAGTACTTACTCTTAGTATAGGGGCTATTATATTTTTTATTCTGTTACTTTTTATTTTTAAAAGATTTAATGATTGCCAGCCATGGTCAATAGTTTGATAAGCATTGTAATGTGTGTGAGCATGTACTTCAAACTTGCCATTTACATTACCATTTTAGCCAAGAATTTCAAGTACAGAGAATTAAAATTCTGCTAGTACAAAACATTGTACTGTTAAATTAACAGACTGTAGGTAAAATACAGTAATTACTATTCTGTATAGTAATTACTATACTGTAATAGTATAGTATTGTAATTATAATTACTATATATAATCATGATACATTTTGTTTATATTTTACGTTTACTAAACCAGTATTTTCATTACCTAATTACTTAGTACATTTTCGCAACTTTTGGAGGCCCATAGACTATCCTTTAACTGCTATAGCATTAGTTTATAGTTATTTCTTATGAGTAGTGTTTGCCAGCAGTGGGAAACAACATTGAGTAAGTCATGGTTCTTGCCCTGAATAAACCCAAAAGAGAATTAGGCATTTCACAGATAATTATAATGTGATTAAATGTTGTTATAGGCATAGTAACCTATAGTTCAAAGTAACCTGGGGATAAGCATGCTTAATTTTGTCTAGATTTGAGGTAGATTTCACCAAGAGGTACCATTTAGCTATTAATAGTAACTCTTTTATAGGTTGAAACTGATTTCTCAACTCCAACACCAAGAAGGAGAACCCCACTTAAGACAGGTAATATACTTACAGCTTTCTTTTGTGGCT